GTGATATAAATTAGGATATAAATATTATTAAATTAGAATATAAATTATTAGGATATAAATTATTATTAGTAATATTTTTATATCCTTATAACTTTATTGTTTACCATTAAAAATTATATCTAAAGGAATTAAATTTTGAAAAAGGAATAAACAATGAAATAAACTGTTCCATTTTGTCCTTTATGCATCTATTTATATAAAAATGGAATCTGGTTAGGGAATTTACGACCTGTATATGAACTAAAAATTGGTATCTTGATAAAACTTGTCAGAGCATAAAAAACAATTCTGTGATATTAGGTCATCATAGTTCTGTATTAGTGTATAAATACCAACATAAGTAAATTGGTATCTTACAAAATTTTCAGAGCTGTATATTCTGTGTATATCAAGTTCTGTATACAAAAATGCAGTTTATAATTATTAGCATAAGTATCATAATGGTTTTTATTAAAATGGCAAAAGCTGAATGCATGATCCTAGCATTATCAAACTAAGGCTCTTTATATCGTTAAGTTTTGCTTGGGTCGTAACCAACACGAGTTTTATTTTTGAAATATTATTCCAAATAAAACAGGAAGCGTTAAACGATATGCATTCTAAACATATGCATAGAAATATGCATAGAAATGTTAAGTAGTTTCAATTTGTACTTCATTTCTGAAACTTCTGCGGTAATATTTTTAGAACAGATCAAGGACTTTAAAGAACAAGTACATTTTAGCAATATGCAACGTTAATGATATAGTTCAAATGCTATTGAACAGCTGTACGATTTGTAACTGGCACTGGAAGAAGCAAAATATATCTGATGATCCAGGGTGAGCTCTGTATGCTGGTCAGCATGTTAGTTACATTCGAAAGCTAAACTACTTTTTTTTCCACTGACAGTGAGGCAGCCGATCCACTGGGACAGTTAGCACAGCTAAACTACTATTTGCTTGTACAAAAGCTGTACTAAAAGCTTACAGCTTATTTTAAATAAATTTCGTATACTCAATACAGCTCCTCCGAAAAGCGCTGTTTTCAATCTTATTTGTTTTAGATTTCAGATTAAAGGAAAATAATCAGTTCTGTTTCTCAAGTGACTTTTTTCTGTCACAAGAATGAAAAACTTTTCACATTCTTGAAAAGAAATACTATAATGTTATTTCTTAATTTGTTTTTATTAAAATTAGCAAAATTAGAATCAAAACTTTATTCCTCTTTTTAAAATAAAAACTGGAAAAACATTATCTTAAAATGGTAAAAGAAATGCTCACATACAATGTAAGAAATTTCAAATGATTGTTTAAAGTATCTTCAGCTTGTGATTCTTCATTTTCTGGATAACATGTAGTTTCTATTTGCCGAGATATGAACCCTGGACAAATAAATTATACCAGTGTTCAACACTTCTATCCGTTCCACAATTAGAGCATTTTAAAATTGAAATAACAGATTTAACACTTTTTAAATAATAGTGGACTTAGTCTATCTGTACAAATTATTGAAGAAAAAATTGTTTTCATATTTGAAAAATTTTGAAAATGTCATAATTTGTCAAATGAGAAATAAAATGAACATAAATATGCATATAAATGTGATAAAAGAACTTCCGGCATAGTGTTGCTTATTTTTGGACCAAAGGTCTTTTTTTCTTCTTTTTTCGGGGTCTTTTTGTGGTGATTTAAAAAGCTGGTTACGCAATATTTTTGTGAATTTTTAATACGTAAAACAAATACAGGCCATTTCTTGAAAAAATGGTTTTAAGAAGAAATAAACGTTACAGTGAATATATAAATGAGACTTTATGAAGGAAAAAGTATACAGTACAAAGTCCGTAATCCGAACGTCCATTATCCGGACCTCAAAGCCACAAACTTTACGCATGCGCTCGTTGAAAGAAATGTTTAATAAAGTAAAAAAATTAATATTAAGCTTTTTTTTGGTAAAATTTGATACCCTTTAGATCATAATTGCTCTTTATTTAATAAATTATGGTTTCATATTTTTAATTGTATAATTTCTGCATGCCATCTTACCAGATTTAAATTGATGATCTATAATCCGGAGAAACCCCTAATCTGGAATCGCTGAAGTCCCGACGAGTCTGGATCACGGACTTTGCACTGTATTTGATTCAGTAACCTTACTAAAGTTGCATGGAAGTTTTCTCGGCTTTTTTTAAAAGCGAAACGAGAATATAAGTCAGATTCTCTTAGAAAGTTTCCTTCCTCTTGGGCAGATAAACAATTGCGTGCTTCGCCATAATCCAAATACATTAAATCCGTCTGTATTGACAGCTATCATTCTATCTTTGTAAAGAAATATTAAGGTAAAAACATGTAAATATCAAATTTAGACTGCAAATATTTTTAAGCAATTAACATTTTAAGCAGCAAAGATTTTTAATGGACACATGAACAACAGAAAATTGCAGCCAAGCTTGTATAGTGGTTAGCGTCGCTGACTGCCGTATCGAAGGGTCTGCCTCGAATCCCGGAGAAGGATGAATGTTTGTAAATATATAGTGTCTGTGCAGCATGGGGGGACTCTAAATATGCAGCGAGTCGAAAGTCCTCTCGAGAGGTTGCTGGTAGGGCAACAACAACTGAAAATAATAATAATTTAAAAAAAAAAACCTAAAATTGGTATAAAACTCTACCAATTACTAAAGCAATCTAGCAAAACCTTTCCATCGAGCAATAAATTCTACTCATATAAGAACAGTTGTATTTTTATAGTACTTATCAAATTAAATTTATGAGAACCTATTTAAAGTTTGGTTTTTCAGAGCCTTCGATATTCATCAGAACGGTGATAAGATCATTAAATATGGAAGAGGCAAAAAAATGTTTTAAATAAAATAATTGTTGCAAAATGACAGCAAATGTCATAAGCGAGTATAAGTAGTTATATAAATAATTAAAAATATGCAAAATTTCTTCTGATGACCTCTTTCAAACAGCATAATATTTCTGCAAAGGAGTAGTACATATTTAGTTTACTCATGGTATTTGTGGCTATGAACAGAAGGTCGTCAAAGATTTTTATACTACTTCCTGATAAGCTATTGAGTTCAAATTTTGTAAGCATATTGATTGTGGATGATAATACAATGTAAAACAAGTTCTATAAAATTCCATTAAAATTTTTTTTAATTTAACGTTCACACGATTTTTGCACATATTTTCATTTGCAAGACAAACTACAAAAGTCAAAACTTTAATATTTGCACTGACGTAAAATATTCTTTTAATTAAAATTTGTATGATATTTTTAACGTAACTTCTGATTTCTGGATGAAAAGTCAGAAACTTTTTCGATTATTTGAGGCCTTTATTGGAAGTAAAAAAAAAAAAAAAAATTATTCATTGTTATTTATTTACTTTATTGGAAGTAAAAAAATTATTATTCATTTTTGAAAAATGATTTTTCAATTGAAGATTTTCATTGAAAATGGGTTATTAAGATTAAAAAGATAAAAATTTTAAAAAAGTTTTATAGCATAAGCTTTTATTCAAAACTTATAAAATTCTTAATAAGCTAAAGGCAAAAAATAATTTATGGCATATTTTAATGGGAACAAGAGATTAATTAAGCTTCTTTACAATATTCATGTGCAATGTCAAAAATATATAAAGGGTGCCACATTTTTTTAATTATTATTCATGAAATAAATTTGTAAGTGAATTTTGTAAAGAATATTATTTAATATCTTATTCCTATTAATCTATATAATAAATTACGGTACTCTTCTGTTATCAGGATCGGATAAAAAAATGTATGTATGCATGTATATACGGAGGTATGCGCATATATATATACATACAAACGTATAAGACAGACACATGCACATGACATGCATACATACATTCGTGAATCCCTTCTGATAGCAGAACAATAGCTAAATTACTTTTCCTTTTTAAATTTATTAATCATTTGAGTTATAAATAAAAGCTTATTCCATAAAAATCTCTTTTTTGTAATTTTTTTATTTCTTAAAAAACGTCTAAAACAGAAATTCTTATTTCCTCTTCCATTAACTTTCTAACTGGTAACAGATTTATTATTACTTTACAACCAGTGTAAGGTCGCCATCATCGTAAAACATTAAGAAGAGTTCTTGATCGTAAAACTTCCCGAGCTATTGAGGGTCATTCATTAACTATTGTCATCAGGGTTGGAGGGTACGCTTGTCCCCTTAGACACTTGGGGGTGAAAATAACACAAAAATCCGGGCTATCTATTCTTGACTTTTCTTTTAAGTCTAACAAAAACATGGGACAGTTTGTTTTCAAGGAGATATTTTAAATGATAATATTACGGGTTCAGGAGCTTGCATAAAAGAACAAGAAAATCTGGATCAAACCGTTAAAGGGTTAAGACATGCTTACTGGTTAGCTCCTCCATCTAGCAAGCAGAAAATCTTTGTTTTGATTCCCATAAATCATATCATCAAGTAAGGCAGGTCCTGTTCTGATATTTACAGATATGAGAAATATATAGATAAATCTTCAGTATAGTGAGAAAAATTATGGAGTGTGTGTAAGAAAAAAGGTTTAGGATTTTTTAAAACGAATATCATATCATACAATTATGAGGATATAGTTGCAAGAAAGGATAGCTTTCCTGCAACACAAACTGGAAGTTGCTTCTTTCATTTCACACACTGTATATAGCATTAAATACAACACAAAAGTCTTACTGAATTTTATATGCAATGCATCCTCTAAAAGATAACTACTCACTGATGCATGATTTCGATCTTAACGATTGTCTTAAAGGAGATTTAAATACTAATGCTTATTTATATTCTCAGAAATACCGATTACTTTTTAAGGTTTTCACAATTTATACAATTTATACAAACAGCATCTTTATGAAAAATATTAACTCTTACATATTAGACCTTCCAGAATAAAGAATAACAAATTGATATAATTTTCTGTATTATCTGTAGAATTAGTATTTTAATTCCTTCAAGAATGCTTTTCAAACAGAAATGTGTTACTTACTTGGATCATATTAGTAAATTTTTCTAAGCTGTGAGGCACCTTATTTGAAAAGTCATACGTCTTACACAACACATTAGTGCCAGCACAATTAACCACCAAATCAAGTTTCTGAAATTTGTCAGTAATTACATTCAGAGCATTCTTGACATCAGCTTCCAATGTAACCTGCAATTTTCAGTTAAAATTTTTTTCTAAGCAAATAATGTGATAAAAACATAAAAATAATTTTTAATATCTGGTGACAATTGTATAATAAATGAATATAAATTTGAAAATTTGGAACTACTCTGATGAGCGCCCTCAAGTCGCCAAATTTCTCGCCAAACATTTTTGGCAAAAAACTCCATGCTGCCATACTACTATCTAAATTTTTTGTCTACATTTCGTACTTTAAGCCTAAAATGTCTTCCAAAACGCGGTTTTTGCATATGCAAAAACCATGTTTTTAACACACAATTTAAGTTAAAAATCCAAAACAAAAACAAAACATTTAGATAGCAAAAACATAAAGTTTCTAACCAAAAATATTTGGCAAGAATCCATGTACACAGCGATATGTTTCAACTTAAAAAAAATCTACGAATGGCACAATCTAGGTTATGAACGAATCTATGAACTATGCACACCTCGCTTTAATAAATTAACATAACAACAATAAATTTCAAAGAATACCATGTACACACCATCCTGTTTAAACTTAAAAAAACATCTACGAATTGCACAATTTAGGCAACGCACGAATCTACAAATTACACACACCTCGCTTTGATAAATTAACATAACAACAATAAATTTCAAAGAATACCATGTACACAGCATTTTGTTTCATTTTTAAAAAACATCTACGAATCGCACAATCTAGACACTATGCACTAATCAACAAAATAAACTAAAATAAATTTCAAACAATTAAAAATAAAATAAAATAAAATAAAAATAACGACAGAAATTCATACTAAAAAAACAATGAACATAACATTCTACAAAACAAGAACAAGAATAAAATAAAATGTACTTACCATGAATTAATGCTTTTTCGAAAAGCAGAAATACCAATTTCATACCGCCTTTAACATGCCGCCATGTAATCACTATCGTATTTGTATACGACAGCCAGACACACTATCCAGAAAATTCATACTATGGTTCACAAATAAATAAAATCACAAATCCCTACTTCTATCATACACAGCCACTAAAAGTAATCTCCCAGACCCTCTTTCCACACCTCCAAATACTCACTGCCCCTCAACAGGATGACCACGATGATATTTCCTATTGCTGAACTTCAATTCAACAACTTCCATCATTTTATCTTTTCCCCTATCTTCTCAGACACAGAGCATGACGTGAACCAATGAGATCCAGGGAAAGATTTTTCAACGTCAACAGAATTGTCATATAACATGCAATCGCACAAAAAACCAGCGCAGAACACATATCGCCATATTTGGTGAAATTAGGGCGTAAATCAGAGTTGTAGCAATAATTTTTATAATTAGTTCACTGAGATTTAACTACATTTTTTAGATTTAAGATTATAAAGAGTATTATAATTAAATAATTATATCAGTAGTCTTTTATATGCTTAATTCATAGATACTAGTAAATCAAATTTTTATGGAATGTCGTGCATATGCAAATCACATATGCTCAAACTATAAAATTTCATCGAATAACCATCACAAATAAGTAAATGCATATATTCATTTTTCTTAGTATACAAATATACGAAGAGAAACAAAATTTACATTAAACATTTCTTTTTGGCCCTATTATTTTCTATGATCAGCATTTTTAAAGTTTTGAACTTTATTTGGCTCTTTCAGCAATGGTAATTATGCATTTTTACTTCTTCTAGATATGAAAAATTATTGCCATAATGACTTATACTCAAAAACTATTTTTTTATTACAATATTGCCTATAAAGCTATATTTATCAATTCTTGAATTTTTTTTTAAGCATGCATAACTTAACAAAAATGCAAAATATTTTAGAAAATATATAGAAGAAAATTTTTTGAAGTTAGCAAAAGAATAATTATCTAGTCACCTTTTCCAAATTCCTATGTATTTAACATCTACAACTATTACAGTCAAAAGTCTTTAATCCGGACGTCCATTTGATTACTATACTGACTATATTGTACTAATGATGCAAAGAAAATCCTATTTATTATTATCTAGTATACTGCTTACATTATTTTTTATGAAAATAATTTTATTTAATTACAATTATTTCTTTAAATTTATTTTCATCCGCTAATAATCACTCTTAATGTATAGTACACAAAAGAGATTATAGATTATTTCTTGGAATTATCTATATTATTACAGAAACGCTAAATCAAATGATGCTTAATAATCAAATAATTATTCTTCAAATAATCAATAAACATTCATAGAAATGCCTTTTTGTTCTCCACACAAAACACTTTTTGCCAATTTAAAAATTATATATACAGTCAAAAGTCCTTAATCCGGAATGACCTATAATCCAGACCTCTAAGCTACAAACTTTCTGTGCATGCACAGCATTTACGCATACGCATAATACCTTTACGCATGCATGTTTAATGTATAACGGACAGTATAAGCTAGGCTAAAATTATATAATTATCTATTTCAGTTAATGTTGCAGATTGTGTTGTTCCTTAATTTTCTAATTGGATCCCGCTTATTATTTTTTGCAGACTGTTAGAGCAATTTTATAAAAGTAAGCTTGAACTTTCGATTATGTCAAAAAGAATTTCTGATTCTGGAGCTGCCAAAGGATCTACAAAGTGAAAGCATGTTTCGATGTCCATCAAACAAAAAGTGGAATTGCTGCAAAAAAAAAAAAAAAAAAAGGATAAAGGCATATCCTTTGTTTCTCTAATCATTCCAAAATCTGTTTATCAATTTCATGCTGCTCTGGGGGGGGGGGGTGAAACGTCGCTGCGCGCAATGAACTGGAAGTTGATCTGTCAGCACGATCCTCATCTTCAGGGCAGATGTTTTTATTTTATTCGGCTTATAATTCCTTACTAAATGTAGTATTTCATCTCGATGTACTCCGCCTTTTGATATGATTTAAATCAAATTCCTCGTCATTATAAATATCACGAATACACATCAAATAGTTTTCTGGTTGCAATTTTCTAATTTCGACTATGCGTAATGTATGCTTTACGCATGCGTGGATTGAAAGAAATGTTTAATAATGTTGTTTTAAAGAAATGTTTAAGTAAACAAATAAATATTAAGCTTTTTTTGTGTAAATTTTGATACCCTTTAGATCATAATTGCTTTTTATTTCATAAATTACAGTTTCATATTTTTAAATTTATAATTTCTGCATTCCATCTTACCAGATTTAAACTGATGATCTATAATCAAGAAAAACTGATAATTCGAAATCGCCGAAGTCCTGAAGAGTCTGGATTAAAGACTTTTGACTGTATTAGAATCAGTTCCGGTATTCTATTATTGTACATATTCTCTATAACCTTCTGACTACATACAAAATTTGCATGTTACTGCTTGCTAATTTTGGTGATTAAGCATGATGGCAACCTTAATGAGGAAGTGTCTCATTTTTTAATAAAAATGTATTTAATCTATGATGATGGCCTACTATAGGACTCTCCAAGAAAATTACATTTCAAACGGTTTGGTTTCTTGTTCTATAAATTATGTTTTACTATTTTTGTTCATAACCTAGAGAACGAATTTTAAGCCTTCATAGAAAAAAATGAATGTGAGGTTACAATATATATAATCAAGAGAGACAACTGACCAAAAGTGGTTATGCCACTAATCTCATAATTATTTCTGCAATTCTGTGCATGGAATTAATTCGTTAATCCACAAAAACTGGTGAATTCAAATAAGCAGAGCAGAACTAATGAAAACATATGCAAATCAATTACAAGTTAATATATTTTTCCCACTTTGCTTTCACGAAGGATAAAATTTCACACCATAATACTTTTTATTTAAAACTGACAGATTAAATTATTTTACTATACATATTTGTGTTTTATTTTAGAAATGAAGTATATCATGATACCATATGCATATATAAATAGAGCATACACCTTATATCACATAAATATAATTCATTTTTAAAATACATTAACCTATGAAGATAGTTAAATTTACCTTTTTTATATTATTTAAAATTAAATTATAAATTTTATACACACATATTTGACTGCAACATTATGAAATTATTAAATTAAAGAAATTAGATGCAACACTTAATTACATATGCTTTATTGGCAGAAAGGTATACAATTTATGTTTCAATAAAGATTTTACCCCCCCCCCTTTTTAACATCTGGAATGATTAAGACACAATAACACGCCAAACAAATACTAATTCAGAAGTCAAACAACAAAAATCAGCACTACTAGTCCTGTGAAAATTTGAAAATATAATGCTTATTTTTGTTGTTTGACTTCTGAATTAGTATCTGGAATGAATTTTAAACTGCATCTTTCCCATTTTAAATATTACACCAAATGCATCCAAATTTATGCTTTCAGTATTCCTTTATACAGTTTATACTTTTTCCCATTCAAAATACAACAGCATGACGAAAACATCTAATAAGTTTGAAATCTGCATCCTATGTAGTTCTTGATGCAACATGCAAAGAATTAGCATTGCAGTGCACATGCAAATCAAACTTGCTGGTAATACCACTTAAAAGTACTATAAAAAAAGAAAATTGTAATTGTTTAAATACTAGAATTGCATGTTCCTTTGTATGGGAAATTTCAGTATAGCTCATTGAAAGAAACCAGCAGTTATTCAAGCAAGTTTCTCATTCTGACAAAGGGCAAAATGTGGAAGAATTCCTAGAAATCAATACTTGTGTTGAATGAAATCAAATGACTGTGATGTGAATATGGAATTATTCAATACAGGGGGGAATGGATCTATTGAATAATATGATTGCATCAGCTTCATCTCACCAGTGAGCAAAAAGACAAGATATCATAGTCAAGGTAATAACAAATGGCACAGAAACATAAAGAATCAAGGTCTGTTTACAAAACAGCTTGTGCTAGCATGTACCATTCAACATTATTTGCAGAGGCAGAAAATGTTCACAAGGAATTTTACTGCTACAGTATAAAGTCTGAGATCTGGATGTCCAATATAAGGAATGATCTA